CTGTTATTTGTATTGATATTTTACAAGTAAAGAAACTGAGACTTAATTTAAACAGCTTACCCAAAGTTACACAGATAACAAGCAGCTAGTCAAGTTGTCAAACTCCAGCTGTTTGACTCGCAATCCAATGCATGAATATCTTTAATGGAAGCGTATTTTTCATACAGCGAAATGCTGGGTCATAAGTGAATTGTTTAACTAGTTTTGGCAAACGTGTCAATGTGCAGAACATTTTCATACCTCCAGAAATTTTTCTTGTGCCCCTTCATAGTCAACTCTTCTCCTCCCAATAAGAAGCAACCATTGATCTGCAATCTAGCATCATAAATTAGTTTTGCCTATTCAAGAATTTCAAATAAATAAGATTATATAGTATGTACTCTGGGGGTCTGGCTTCTCCCACTTAGACCAAAATTTTTGAGACTTATCCATTTTGTTTCATGTATCAACAATTCATTCCTTTTTTGTTAAGTATCATTCTAGTGAATGGATATACTAGAGTTTGATTATTCATTTTCCTGTTAATGGACATCTGGGCTATTTCCAGCTTGGTGTTTGTCAAGAAGTGGGAAGGGTCTGAAATTTCGCCCTACGTGTAGCTAGTTAGCCTTTCACAGTTCTACGAGAGCAGGCTAAAGATGGGGGACGCCTGCGTCAGAGCCAGGCCCAGCGAGCAGCACGATCACTATGTCTGCTCCGGGTCCCCTTCTCGCCACCCTGTCAAGTCCCATGCAGGTGAGGCAGAGTGGTCCACGCAGATGCTGAAAACACACAAGTTTATGTTACGGCTGTCAAACTCTGAGCTTCAGGAACCTGAATCTTTTATAAAGGACTTCAAGCAAAGCCACCTGACCTTTGCTTGAAGAGAGATACTATCTTTAATGGCCAGTAAACACATTTCTCTAGGCTCCATAGGCACACCCTGTCTGTCTCTTCCAAGGGTATTTGCTACAGAAACATGAAAAGATAATAAATGCCCCTACTTGTAAGATTAGTAGAAACAAGAGAGACTAATGGGGGACTGTCCCCTGATAGGGCCATTATGAATAAAGCTGCTATGCATATTTGTGCACAAGAGTCTTGTGGACATGTTTCCATTTCTCTTGGATAAATGCTTAGCGGTACAGTTGTATACCATAGGGTCATGTGTGTTTAACTTTTGAAGAAATGTTCCAAAGCAGTTATGCCCTTTACATTCTAACAGCAATGCATAAAAGTGCTGGCTTCTCCATGTCTTCTTTGATGTTTTCAGTCTTTTCATTTTATCCCATTATGGTTTAATTTTCACGTCTCTGGTGAATTATGGTGATGGGCATTTTTTTGTATGTGCCTATTGGCTAAATGTATCAGATCTAATATCCTCCCTTGTATTTTTGAAGCTAAATTGAGAAACTAAATTTACAGGTTCTATAAGTTTTCTACTACAGGAGCACAATAGTCCAAGAGATGACAGGTTAATGCGA